GTTTAAGTTATATTGGGGGCTGCACTACACACTACTACTACAATAGGTTTGTCATTGAACGATTTTCGCGATCTATTCGATCTTATTAGACTAATAGACCGACTTAGAATTGAACAGGGTTGAAACGCCTATATTTTAAGAAATACTTGGTGGACATGTTGTTTACCGACTGCAATACTTCAGTATGGTGTCGTAGTGTGCTGTTAGTGCTGTAATTATAATGAAAAGCAGAATACCTACAGCAAATATCTAATCAAACACCTTACAAAACGCTTAATGGTACCTGCTAACTCATCTTCCTCTTCTTGCTTCTCGTGTTTCTCTTGCTTTTCTTGCTTCTCTTGCTCCTTTTGTTTCTCTTTCTCCTCTAGCTCCTCTTGATGCCTTTTTTCCCCTTGCTCTTCTTGCTTCTCTTGCTTTTCTCGCTTCTCTTGCTCCTTTTGCTTCTCTTTTTCCTCTTGCTCCCTTTTTTCCCCTTGCTTCTCTTGCTTCTCCTCTAGCTCCTCTTGCTCTTCTTGCTTCTCTTGTTCCTCTTGTTTCTCCTCTTGCTTTTCTTGCTTCTCTTGTTCCTCTTGTTTCTCTTTGAGTGATTTCTCATTCGTAGAAATAGCTTCTTCACGCTTACCTTCAGCTTGATATACATTTCTTAGATTGTTATATGACTTTGTGACATCAGGATGGTTGTGACCCAAAACTGATAATAGAATGTTATAGGATTGCTCGTACATAGAAATAGCTTCTTCATACTTGCCTTCAGCAAGATATACATTTCCTAGACCGCTATACGACTTTGTCACATCAGGATGATTGCGACCCAAAACTGATAATTGAATCTTAAGGGATTGCTTATACATAGAAATAGCTTCTTTATGCTTGCTTTGATCACTATAGACACGACCAATGTTGCTATATGTTATAGCAATACTTGGATGATTGTCGCCAAGTTGTGTCAGATTAATCTTGAGTGACTTGTTATACATTAATAGAGCGTCATCATACTTGCCTTGATTATCATAGACATTTGCAGTGTTGTTATATGTATCAGCAATGCTTGGATGATTGTCGCCAAGTTGTGTCAGTTTAATCTTGAGTGACTTGTTATACATTGATAGAGCGTCATCATACTTGCCTTGATTATCATAGACATTTGCAATGTTGTTATATGTATCAGCAATACTTGGATGATTGTCGCCAAGTTGTGTCAGTTTAATCTTGAGTGACTTGTTATACATTGATAGAGCGTCATCATACTTGCCTTGATTATCATAGACATTTGCAATGTTGTTATATGTATCAGCAATACTTGGATGATTGTCGCTAAGTTGTGTCAGTTTAATCTTGAGTGACTTGTTATACATTGATAGAGCGTCATCATACTTGCCTTGCTTATCATAGACATTTGCAATGTTGTTATATGTATCAGCAATACTCGGATGATTGTCGCCAAGTTGTGTCAGTTTAATCTTGAGTGATTTGTTATACATTGATAGAGCGTCATCATACTTGCCTTGACGATTATAGACATTTGCAGTGTTGTTATATGTATCAGCAATACTCGGATGATTGTCGCCAAGTTGTGTCAGTTTAATCTTGAGTGACTTGTTATGCATTGATAGAGCGTCATCATACTTGCCTTGATTATCATAGACATTTGCAGTGTTGTTATATGTATCAGCAATACTTGGATGATTATCACCAAGTTGTGTCAGATTAATCTTGAGTGACTTGTTATGCATTGATAGAGCGTCATCATACTTGCCTTGATGATTATAAACACGACCAATGTTGTCATATGTTGTAGCAATACTTGGATGATTGTCGCCAAGTTGTGTTTGTCGAATCTTGAGTGACTTGTTATGCATTGATAGAGCGTCATCATACTTGCCTTGATTATCATAGACAAGACCAATGTTGTCATATGTTGTAGCAATACTTGGATGATTGTCGCCAAGTTGTGTCAGATTAATCTTGAGTGACTTGTTATGCATTGATAGAGCGTCATCATACTTGCCTTGATGATTATAGACACGACCAATGTTGTGATATGTTGTAGCAATACTTGGATGATTGTCGCCAAGTTGTGTTTGTTGAATCTTGAGTGACTTGTTATGCATTGATAGAGCGTCATCATACTTGCCTTGATTATCATAGACAAGACCAATGTTGTCATATGTTGTAGCAATACTTGGATGATTGTCGCCAAGTTGTGTCAGTGTAATCTTGAGTGACTTGTTATGCATTGATAGAGCGTCATCATACTTGCCTTGATGATTATAAACACGACCAATGTTGTGATATGTTGTAGCAATACTTGGATGATTGTCGCCAAGTTGTGTCAGATTAATCTTGAGTGACTTGTTATGCATTGATAGAGCGTCATCATACTTGCCTTGATTATCATAGACAAGACCAATGTTGTCATATGTATCAGCAATACTTGGATGATTGTCGTCAAGTTGTGTTTGTGTAATCTTGAGTGACTTGTTATGCATTGATAGAGCGTCATCATACTTGCCTTGATGATTATAAACACGACCAATGTTGTTATATGTTGTAGCAATACTTGGATGATTGTCGCCAAGTTGTGTTCGATTAATCTTGAGTGATTTGTTATGCATTGATAGAGCGTCATCATACTTGCCTAGGTCTTGATAGACTTGTCCAATGCTGTTATATAATACAGCAATACTAGGATCATTATTTTCAAGAATTTTCAGCTTAATCCTTAATGATTTATTGTATTCCTTTAAAGCCTCGTCATGCTTGCCTTGATTCTGATAGACCAAGCCAATGTTCTGATAGGACTCACAGACATCAAGATGTTCACTCCCTAACGATTTTAATTTTATTTGAAGTGATTTGTTGTAATCACGCAAAGCACCCATAAAATCACCTTGAAGTCGTTTACAGTCGCCCTGGATATCGAAACAATAAGAAATCTTGACCTCTTCTAGTTTCTCAGCTAACTTTTCTGCTTTTCCACTGTATTCATTGGCTTCTATCAATTGATATTTTTCCCGGTAAGATTGAGCCATAGCGAGATAAGTAGAATATTCAAGTTGACGACGACTATCGCTACTCTCCACTATCGATTTGATTTGAGTTACAGCTTTCTGAAAATAAAATAACGCGTCTTCATAATTGCCTTCGCCATGATATTTCACGCCCTTTTTGCGTATAGATTCAATCTCGTCAAATATC